TCTCCCCTTCTGTTCAGATTTGTATGTAAATGAAGATCAGAATGGAGTTTAACATTTTGTCTTGAGTGGCCTATAGATTTCATCCTTTTAGGGCTTTAAGTAAGTTAAACTACACTCCTCTAGAAGGGCAGAGGTCTGTTGGCATTTAAAATGAGGATGTGTGTGGGGAGTGTTGGGCTGTTCAAGGGCCACAGGTCCTCCCATCAGTCTTAATTCTGTGGCAGAAGAGAACACCACCATGTCATATGGGTTCAGCCACATGCGCTCAAGTTACTTTTCCAGCTTTTCTTTTGTTGTTGTTTCTTTTTTTTTTTTTTTTTGCGTTTAAAAAAAAGTATGAAGTGTATGATTATCAGTGCTGTAATATGCCTTTTTTTCCCTAGGTGTTAAAACATGATTATTTCAGCACTATTCCTTGTACCTCCTTGCCTGAGCAGTAAAGGATAGAAATCCAGAACCCAAATCCCTTAGCTAAGGTACGTTCTGTGCTTGATAACTAGGTCATTATGATTTTTTCTTTTCATTTGGCTAAGAAGTTAAGCATCATTTCTTAAAGGAACAAAATAAGTGCTGTATTCAAAATTTAGTTTCTTTTTTAATCGCAACAGGTTTTCAATGGTAATTTTAGAGTTTTGCTGGATTAATTTTTATTTAAAGAAGTCTGCTGTGCTATACTTTTATTATTTAAAGTAAATAAAAGTAAGTAAATGCAAAGTAAATAACAATTCCAATAAGGGCTGAGCTAGGTAAGACAAATGTTTCTTCCATTTTTCTTAATATTCATTTTAAAGTCTGAACCTGACCACACAGAGCTAACTCTCTTAAATAAACTAACTTGTTTGAGCTTTCATTTACTAAAAACAATGCAACTTAAGCAAAAAGTGGCTTCAACTTTAAAAAGATGCAATTTCAGCTAAATCATGTAGGTTATCATTACAAGTACTCTCTCGGTATGCATTCAATAAAGATGTTAATAAAGAAGACAAGGAAAAGCAATTGTTTACTGCTTTTCCTCCTCCGTTAAGATTTAAGAGACTCTAACACAAATTGCCTTTACTTCTGAAATACAATTTCATGGAACGAAGTTTAAAAAAAACCCTGGAAGTTAAAAGTGCAGATTCTTGGTGTGCAAGGTTTTAAAACTGAATAAAATGCATCGAGATAACTCTGGTCTTGATCTACCAGTTTAATGGAATTGCTTTGGACTGTAAAGCTGATTTATTAAATGCCCCATATGTAGGATTTCCCTCCTGGTTGATTGTTTTTTATTTCTAAAGTGTAATTAATACAATAGAGAGACTTCAGAATTTTATGTGCTAAAACATCACACCTGTGTATGTGTGCTATATACCAGGGCATCCCTGCTCTCCTTCTGTATCAAATGCAAAACATAACAAGTTAGCTCAATTTAGATAAGATAAATCTAATTTTCTGGCAATAGGAACAGTTAAAAACGTGCACATGGACACTTATCAATGCCATTTTTCCTGTTGTAATAAATGAGATCTGCTCTGCTCCATGCTGCACTTGTTCTGGCTATAGACAAGTCCTGAGGCCAAGAAATGAAAAGTTAAAATTATCCTAACTAGAAAAAGAAAAAAAAGTTACTTTGTTTGAGAATTCCTCAGTAAAAGTTCTGTGCTTAAATATGCTGCCAACAAATTGAATCACAATAAATAAAACCAGTGAGTAAACAAAATATGTTTTAAAATACATTTTTCTTTGAAGTCAGGGATCCAGTAATTGCTCATTTACATGATGATTTGTCAAATCACAGAATATAAAATAGAGTGCATTCTAGAATACAAGTCTTATTATTTAGAGCCTATTGTACTTGAATTACTCAACGCATTCATTAATTTTACAACTGATTTATAAACACAAATTCTGACCTGAAGAGAATACAATATAACAGCAGTCAGCCCAATCCAGCTGTGCAGACTGTACATGTTGGGGATCCTCCTGGCATTGTGGTAGTCAAACACAGCTACCATAGAAACAATTGCAAGAATCATAGCTATGGTATTTAATCCGGCATGTATGAACTTCATTAGAAGTTTGCTGCACTTCCAGGTCCATGGCAACCTGTACACAATAATGGCTGGAAAAGAACAGAAAGAAGATTTTATTCCTTATAGTGTAACTTCTCTAAGATTTTAATAATTATGTATCATTCATATAGTTCTACTGTAAGAGCAAGCCAAACTTTTTATCTTTTAGAAGATTATGAAAGATTATTAGAACTACACAAATGATTATTAAAAAGCTTTTTCTCTTACTCAGACTAACATTCCAAATACACAACTGAGGACTTAAATTATTGCCTTTAGAAAATGTATTCCTCTATTTTTGAAAAATCCAAGTGTTTTTCAAAAAACTGACAGTAAACAACTTGGTGTTGTTTTTTCCTTGTTTCTTAAATTGATGTAACAGAAAGTCTGCATAGGGTTTTGATTTTTCTACTGCTAGTCACATTGGAGGAACAAGGCCCAATTCTTATATTCAGGAGATAACAAACTGAGACATGCAGTATTTTTTAAAAATATTTATTCTCTTTGCAAATTTGGGTAATGCTACTTACATCCAACCTAAACAACTGTATGATTCTGTGGGTTGAAGGGCACTGGCATATGCTACCCAGAGTACTTGTGGATGTCCTGTCCCTGAGGGTGTTCAAAGCCAGACTGAATGAGGCCCTGAACAGATTGAAGTAGTGGCTGGCAACCCTGCTTGTGGCACCTGGAACTAGGTGATCTTTAAAGCCCCTTCCAACCAACCTAAGCCATTCTATGATTCTGTGATATTTATATAGCTGTGTTGTTACATTAATATTGGTAGGAGTACTTTAAATGGAAAAAGACTACTCAGCATCAGAGAATTGTAGTCCAACTGAAGAAACAAAAAGATTTGGCAGCTACAACTCTCGAAGCACTGTTAGATCAGTGCACATTTTTTACCTGTGTTTGCATATGTGACACTAACATACCGTATTTTGACCAGTGTGAACAAAACAACAATTTCCAGTGATCTGACTCCAAATGGCCCATAAGAATAGTAACAGCATAGAGACCTTCTTGCCAAGCTCTTTCTTCAGGGTCCTTGCTGCTCCTTTCCTGCCCCTACTGACCTCCTGCCTGTTGTATAAGCACGCAGACTAGACCAGATCACTGAAGTCCCACGTATTTCTCAATACAAGTCTGTACAATTTCTGAATGTGTGAGAGCACATAAGTACATTAAGATAACAGGGGACAAATACTTATGATCATGCCTGGTCCTTGACCAGTAAAGGCTGTTCTTCCCATCCATAATGCCTTGAGTGGGCAAAAATGATGATCTCCATTCATCTGATTAATTAAATCCTTACTTAAGATTTCTTCTTATAAAATGACATCCAAATACTATATAATTAGCAATACTAAAGGAAATGAATAAGAATATATTTCAGATTTTAGAATAAGTTCTCTCTTCAAACGCTCACTAGAAAATAATTTGTATTACCTGGTAAGTGCAAAGATTAGGTATTTACTTAAGTAATTCTCATGTACCTTCCTCATTGCTTCTCTGTAACTCTAGCTTTTTATGCAAAAAAAGAAAAAAAAGGAAAAAAAAGAAAAGGATATTAATTCTGTACATTACAACAAATAATAATAAAAAATGACAAATTGATTTTAAAGTTCTATTTAGATATACATATTTTGACTTGGATGTATGACAGGAAACACAGCACTCCATTAAATAGTTCACACAGAAAACACTGTTCACAAATGGAATTTCCAGTCCACAAGTAGATTTTAAATCAATATTTGCTTTCACATGCTGTGTGAAAATATAATATTGGAATGAAAGCTCCCTTAGAATATTTAAATACATACAGCATTTAGGTAGTTCTCAGCTTTCTACTTTTAAAAAGTGGAAATAGCACAGCATAAAAAAATTAGGAAAATAGCCTTGTTTTAAGACAGTCTGGCAGTACTATATGACATAATTTGATTTCCGTGATTCAGCTTGAGCTTAAGACCACCTCCAACAGTTCCACAAAATGTATGTGATAATCTTATATCTTGTTAATATTGAAATAATTGCCTGCATCAGGCAATTAACCTAGTATTAACGATTATGATTTCTAATCTTGTACAACTGGTATGCCAAAAGGTCCCAACCAGGCTTCAACATTCTGTGAGGATATTGTATCCCAGAAATCTTCCATTCTCGCTTTTCATAAATTACGGCCCAGAGTATTGTCAATAGCTTATTTCAAGTGGAATGGAGTACTGGACTCTATGTATCTTGAAGTCAAATTGACCTGAACAGATCTTGGTCTCAGTTTACAGCTTTGGTTCTCAAAGGATTGTGTCCATGCTAAATTTTTTTCTTTGGTGTATAAGATTCCATGGTAATTTGGTTTAACTTCCAAAAGCACTATCAAACTTCACAGTGTCACCCATGTAATCTTAGATCTCTTATGGACCGTGACATTTTTTTTTTGTCTGTTTCCCTCTTGGTAACAGTATGACAGAAAAACAAGGAATACAGACTAATGGCTTGGAGACCTGTTAGCAATACCACACATTAAAATGTTGCATGCTGTAGCCCAGGGTGAATACAGGATAGTACATTTTGCTGTGATTCCCTCTCAGTAAGGGCAAAGTTATAAAGTTATACATCCTAACTTGAGTAAAGTTATACATCTTAACTTGAGCAGATCTGACTGTTTACTGTTGCCAAAAGACAAGGTCCCATTTCCCCAGCACCATTTCCACTTCCTCTCTGACTGCATGCTTCTCACAACCCACTTGGTCACAGCTGGTGACCAAATACTAGCCTCTCTAGTGGGAATTTAATAGGTTAGTGATGAACTGAAAATCATTTATTCTGTATTACATCACAATGGCTCTCATAATTAGTCCTTTGAGAGGGGACCAAATTATCATTTGCAGGCCAAACATGAAGCAGAATGCAGGTGTTGCTTTGGAGCCCTGACATCTATGAAAAACCTTTACATGTGAAAAAGAAAGCAAAATTCTTAATTTACTAATTTACTCCATTCTATCACACTATACTATTTCTTCAAGCCCTTCTTAAAATCATTTTGTTCACATTTTTCCTATCTTAATCTTTAAAATAGTCATGGTACAAATATGCACACAGATTTTTACTACCTGTATTATCACCACTTTGGAAAACCATCTGGACAATGACTGTGCACTGACAGGGTTTTATCAGTTACAATTTACATACAGGTACCTATCTATAAATAGTTAATACTCACATTGTTGTGCCTACAGCTTTTTGATAAGATACATATTTTGTCAGGGCGTGTCTGATTCCCCATATGCATGTTATTACAGTCACCTCTTCTACCTCCCACAGACCAGCAGCACAGTTCTATCCTTTGTACAGGCTTTAATGAACTGAAGAAACAGGTGATTTGGTTACTATTTCAAATCTTGCACACAAGTTTAACCGAAGTATTTATTCAGCTATTCCTTTTTACTTTTAGCTACTTAAGGGCTTCTTTTTCTTGCATGTGTGCAAAGGCATGTTATCCCTCAGCCTCATCCAAATTACTTTGAATTAAGTGGCGGATTTTTCCATCAGTCTCCAGCTTTGCTTTTCGTGTTACCTAATTGGATTTCCTACTCCAAATAATGCTCTTCTATCAGTGAATTCCTGGTTTGATTTGTTTGTTTGAGCCATGATAAACTTTCCTTTATGTTACAAATACCTACACAAGGCTTGTGGCAACTAATTAATTCTGAAACAGGGGTAAGCTGAGTTTCAGAGGAAATAAAAGAGCAGGGGAAAATTCTGCAGAAAACCTCCCCCTATTGTCTGCAAAACAAACAAACAAACAAACAAGATTTAAAAAAATCTGTTTATAAAAAGAAAAAGCTCAGTAGTTGATCACAAGAAGTTGTATTTAGTGAAGTCAACAGGTGTTTCTGGTTGCTTATTTATAACCAGAAGTTACACTTTACGTGACCTAAGCAATATTATATAAGCCAGCTTCAGAATGTTGTTTATTGCTCAAAACTTCTTTGTAACTTGAAGACATGAAGCTCAGAACATACCTCGCTGCCACTGAAAATATTAAGTTTGTGGTGTGTGCTCAAATGACCAAGTTCCCTGCCTAGCCAGAGCTCAGCAGCCACCCGCCCTGCTCCTTCCAGCCCTGGCAAGGCTCCTGCTGCAGAGCGAGCGGCCGTACGCGCGATCCAAACAACGCACTTGCTGGAATGAATGTCCAGATGTGCTGGACGCATTTCCTGGCTGGATGAGTGCAAAATGTCGTTCAGCAGTGAAGCAAATGTAAATAAGGTTGCTAACAATGAAATTCTAAGTTAATTCCTCCTGTTACACAGAAAAAAATACTTCAGATTTCCAGAGGTTCTTCATTACTTAAGAAGAGTAAAATCATCTCCTTGCTCCTTCTCTCCAGAGAAGTCAGTGGTGAAGCTGTGAAGGAATTTCCACCATTCTCTGCAACTTTCATCTGCCTTTCTTTGATAATTGGTGCTGTTTCTTCATGTGTTCTCTTATCAGTGAAGCTAGCCAGAATGATGACTTTATCAGAAACCACCATTGGAAGCTGTTATCTCTGCCAAATTTCCCTGTTAGTTTTCATGCAATTAGTGTAAATACTAACTCAAATTTCAGGATTAGTACTTCTGGGGCACTACCATTATCTGCTTTTTAAACTTTACTGAGAACACCGCCAGTTTTCTTTCCTCACCTCAAACCATTAATCAGTGGCATTGTGTGCAAGTCAGACAATTTCTTGGATTTAACTGTTCTACTAAAAGCAAAAGCATGTCGTTCAAACTGCAACATTCCCGTCAGCCTCAAAAAACAACCCTTGCCCTTAAGACCTAACATGTGAAGGGCGTGTGATGGAAAACAGACAGTGAGCACATAGCACATGTAGTGGGAAACGCTGTCAGTCCAAGGCTGAACGCTGCGCAATCAAAAGTTCATACGCTTTGTAAAAATGTCCCCTGGCCTCATCATAACCATTTTATGTTACTCAGGCAACAGAATTAAGTACGAATTGTAAATATATATTTTGCAAAAGAATTTATACAGCTTCTGGGCTGATGAAATGCATTGCAGCGGTGTACTTGGTGCTGCATTTCCTCTGGCACAAGCCCTGCTCCTGGGTCTGGCTGCGCTGGTGCTGAACTGAGACGGGGGAGCGAGCCAGAAGGGACGGAGCCAAACGAGTGAAAGTTTCCTAGGGCAGCACTAGATTCGATTCCCAGCTCGCATAAATTCAGGCTGACTAGGAAAACACACCTCGCAAGACTTTCTCAAAGTGCAAGGAAACCCTAGGCCAGGGTAAACAAGTGCTTGAAGGGAGGAAAAAAAAACACGAAAAAGAAGCCAAATCAACCCAAACCACCGCTACAAGCTCGCGACAAGGGACTCTTTGTCCCGTCGCGGTGCGAGCGCCGCTCTCCCAAACGGCAGCGCCGCGCAGCGCCCCGGCCCCGGTCCCGCCGCTCCCGTCCCGCGCAGCGCCCCGGCCCCGCGCGGCCCCAGCTCCGCCGCCACCCCGCCGGGCCCTCACGCACCGATGCCCTGGATGAAGACGAAGCCCGTGACGATGAGGACGGGATGCCAGTTGAACTCCGCTGAGCCCCCGTCCCAGCCGAGCCCTTCGCGGTAGCTGAAGACCCAGACGAGGGAGAAAACGACGGAAACGAAGCCGACCAGCAGCGCCGAGCCCAGCAGCGCCAGGAAGAGCCCGTAGTCCTCCATGTTCCGAGCCCCGCGCATCGCCGCCAGCTCCGAGCGGGAGGGGCAAGGCGGACGCCCTCGCTGACGCCCTCCTTCGGCCCCGTGCCCGGGCGGCGCCGCCCCTCGCCGCTTGTTGCGAGCCGGCCGTCGCCACGCTGTTATTTACAAGTATTTTGTACAGCCTTGTGCAGTCCTTCGCGCTCAAGTGGACCTGTCCGCGGGGCTCAGCCCGCTCCTTCTTGGTGCCCGGGGCGTTGAGCACGTGGCTGTGGTTGTGAGCCGGGGCGCCGATGGGAGCCTCCAGCGCCGCTGCAGAGATAACGCAGCGCGGCCGTAAGCACCGAGAGATAAACCAGAAATACTGCTGGATGAGAAGACGCAGCACGGAAAGTGCAGCCGCTGAGCGTGCTTAAAGACATGGGTGCACTGTTCTCGGAGCATGGTTTTTGTCATGGTCATCCCCTTCAACTCATGTTGGATTCCTCGATTGCTGGAAAACAGCTATTAACCCGGTTTCTTACATAGATGCTGGGCTAAGTTTGTAGGAATGTTTGGGCATCATTCTATTAAAACCTGCCAAATTTTGGCAACTTAGTCACATCTGAGACCTACTTGTAGAAGTGTTCAGGAACAGTTGTTCTACATTCTCTATTCTTAAATAGCTTTCAAAGAGTTCTAACATTTAACATAAACATCTCTGTTTCTGAATGAAAATGTCAATGTGTGAGCTTCCAGGATGGAACATACTGTGTATTTACCGTGATCGAGTTTCTTACACAAAGCCCATAATCTTCATCGAAGTTTGTGCTGCCTTTTGGTCACCATAAATTGCTGCATTTTTCACCAGATGGGCAGTAATGTATGATTGTTGATTTAGAAGACTATTGCAAGTCACAACAGCTTCAAAATAATAGTCACTGGGAAGAACAGCAAATTTTTGAAAGCTACAGAGGTGATATTGTGGATGGTACCTGCAGTATTTAATAAGCAGTATTCTAGGTAAGTTTAAATGCCTTGCTCTGGAAAGAACTCTTTTAAATAATCCAAACAGAAACAAGCATGAAATTCCTTACTAAGGAAGACTAAGTATGTCATAAAAATGTCAGAAATGGTGATGGGGCTCATATAATCATTAACTGCACACCTCCCATAAAAATGTTCTGCTATATTCCAATCTGGGAAAGTTTCTGCTTTTGCTGTCACCACTTCTGTCTGAAATATTATTTCAAGATTGCACAATACTTCTGAAGACGAGCAAAACGGTTACTCTGCCTTTTTGAAATCAGCTTTTGAGTAGCCTCAGTGTTCCAGCTTCCCTCTATCTACACTGGCCACAGATGATTCATGACCATCTGGAAACTGCACTTCTCCTTCCTAAGTATCTTTTTAGTCTCTTCAGTTTGCTTTCATGTAGCAACTTTTATTAATAAATATCCTGACTTACGACTTCCTAGTAATTGCTATATGAAATAATTTGCAGACATCAGAAGAGGGATGGAAAGGAGATGAGGAGTATCATGAAAAACAGCTCTGTGCCATTTTTCCCCAAGCACTCAACTTCTTGTACCTGACAAGCAGTTGTCCTCTTTGCAACCTTACTTTTCAGTTAGGCTATAGAGTTTTCTTTTTCATGGTAGTTTCCATTTGTCATCACTGACTGAGGTGACAGATTTCTAATGAAAGGAATTTAGTTAGAAATAATTAACCCATACACACTCAGAATAGAAATTTCTGCCTCAGCATCATTTCCGAGAGATTTTGTAGTAGTTTTTACTCTTCTATCTCCCTGTTATTTATGTAGTAGCATAATGGACAGGTGCTTTTTTCCTAGACATTAAATGAAAATGAAGGTAGGGTGGAAGTAGAGCATTGCTGCTATTCTTTATTTCTACTGTTGTTTCATTACCTTCTTACATCTCCTTTCTGCCTTTTTTTTTTTTTTTTTTTTTTTTGTATTTCCACAATTTTTACTTTTTATTTTGCATTACAGTTTACAGTTTATACATAATCTTGCAAATGCTGTTTTTATATATAATTTTACAGCCCTTCACTATTGCATCAGCTGCAAAAATGAACACTTCAGTAGTAAAGGTTACCAGGAAAAGAAATAGGTGGGTTTGGAATGATTATGCTCATGAAATGAACATGGCAGTGGTGGTAGTGGGGAGAAATCAGATGTTGGCCATCCCTCCAAAAGCGACACTTGTGGAGGCACCTTTGGCTTGCATTTGGTCACTCTCCATTTGGTTATTTGCATGGTAAATCTTTATGATCATGAAATGGGTTGGGAGCTTGTGAGTTGTTTTTTCACTTCTACTAGTTGGTTTTGTTCACTTATATTTTTAATGAATATACCACGTGGAATTGCCACGTATGAGACAGGCTGCACACAGCAATCAGACCGAGTTTCTGGTGGCTTTGATTCAGACTGAGCAATTTGTGAAATCTGGCGTGGGGAAATTCAGAGAAGTGCCTTTTTCATATATGCACATAAAATAAATAAAACATAAAAGGCAGTAAATATACATAATTTATTAATACTCTTCTTCAAACCAAAACAAACACAACTAGAAAATTGGTTAAACCCCCAAAAACCCAAATGGTTTTGTATATCAGAAAAAATCCTCTTGTCGGTTTTGTGTAACGATAACTGCAGTTTTTGTCCTACATAGAAATTCTTTTCTATACAGCCTTTCACATTTTTTTAGTTAACAGCCTGTATTAAAGTTGCATAGCTAAAACTACATAAGATAGAATGCAGCAGATGATCAAAAAGTCTACGTCTTTCTCCTTGATGTTCAGTATTTCAATGCAGTTTCTGAATAGAACCAAGAAATGCTGCATTCAGCATTAAAGAACTGGTGAATGCATGAAAAACCATTACGGACTACAGACAAGAGTACAATATTAGAGAAAAAAATAAAAAATAAAACCTCGTATAATGGTACAAAATGTTAAACACTGGCTGGAAAACAGTAGTTGACTACTTAATACAGAGGAAGTCCTTAAATAACATCAAAATTGAAGTCTCTGTACTTGTTATGTCTTAAGTATACTCAAAAATTCTCCCTCCTTTTTTACAAGACACTCTTTCTGTTCTTTCATGTCTTGAACTTTCATCTTCTTCTGCAGTATCACAGACCATTTGGTAAACATAACAACTGAACCTCCTGTTAGGCTTCTGTTCTATATGCAATACAATATCTCTGTCAAAGTAAACTTCATGACTGTAAGTCTGAAATGAGAAAAATAATTCTGATTGCAGTCTCAATTTCCACAGCTTGATAACAGTATCATTGTTTGATATATCATTTAGTATAGTGTAATTTAGTAATATTACTAGTATATATTATAACAGTATATATTATAATAGTATATATTATAATGGTATTAATTTAGTAATAGTATCTTTTTCCTTCGGCGGGTGAGGAGGGAATATATATGTATATATACATAACATTTTTTATTTCCCTGATCAGACAGGAAATTTATGTGGACGCACACAGTCTGCCCTTCTACAAAAAAGGCATAGTTTTAAAGATATTCTGTATACCTATTTTTGGGAATCTAAGCACAATTTAAAGCATTTAAGTCGCCTATACAGGTGATTATAAGAGACACCAAAGGTGCTGAGTAAATTAGACTACCTTAGTTAGGTACCTAAACTTGGGCTATATGAACTGCCCATTGCATCTTTCCAAACGTACACACAGCAAGGTCCATGCTTAATTCTATGCATGAATAGTTACAGTTCAGTTAAGGAGACTATTTGCAAGGTGTAAAGTTAAGTTGATGTAACTAGCCAGACAGTGAGTATTCAAGTTGATAAATACTTCAGAAAGGAAAAAAAAAAAAAAAAAAAAAAAGATGCAAATAGCCAAAAAACATTGATTTCAAATAATTAAGATTTTATGATAAATTAACTACTGTCTGATGGAATACTTAATTTTTTTGAGTCATGATTATATTTAGTACAAGTCTCATTCATAACACCAGGCAACACAATTTATCTATCTACTTCAAATCTGAATGGAAAATTAATGCATTTAATGGTAGGTAAAGGGGAAATGTTAGTGTCAACAACCAAAAAAAAGGAATGCTCCTCACCACATCCCAGGATTCCAGTAATGGAATACTCTTAAGTAGAATCCCACGTTCATTACAGCGTAAATCAAGGTGAGCTCTTCCATCAGCTCCTACTTCAGTAACTGCCACAGTGGATAACAAATCCAGTTCATCTTCATAGTCTACAATTTTGAATGTCTTAGGAAAAACAAAGCCTTAAGTTTACATGTGAAACAATTTCACATTCCCTGAAGAATTGGAAAGTATTCTGGCATGTCTTTGCCAGCCTGATAGCCAACAAGCATCTTTCCTCACACAAGGTTTCTAACTTAGGTTGGTGATATTCCTTAAGACAGGAAGAGAAGAAAGTGATGTTCTGAACAACGTACAAGTAGATGCATTTTAGATGTGATAGGATAAATAGAAAAACAGATGGATAACACAGCTAATGGTTACAGGCACTGCACCTGTAACAGGAATGACTTCTCTCTTGCTAAACTTCTTTAATCCATACCCACTACATCAGTTACCTCTTGTTCTGGGTCATCATCCAGCACGTTAAGACGCTTTTTCACCACTCGACCAGAAGATGTTACAGTAACAGAGCTGTTCACCTTTGGAGAAAAAGAATGGCCCTGGATTTAGAGCGTTACAGTTTCATCATATCTATTTGACAACATATCTAATTCATGTTGTCTGCTTTCTGACCTTGCTTTAATCTCTGGAATTGTGTCATGCCTTCTGCTCCTGACCTTGGTTTAATCTCTGGACTCTTGTTCTATTTATTAGCAATACATAGCCTTATTGCTGCCATCTGTTCTTTATGAGGGCTTATGAACTTGGTGGCTTTAGGTGAGGTACAACTGATGTTAGTAATTAACAGGTTCTCAGTTCTCATTCCTGTGGAGCTGGCAAAGTTTCTCCATTACTATTTTTTTTTTTTAGAGCTGGAGTTACTGGAGCCAAGATGTTGGAATGAGGATG